CCAAGAACAGTTCTTCAGAGTTTTAATATAGAACGACCTGAGTATTAACAAGGTAGCTTGTTACTCTATTTTCATGCTGAAAGCCCCTTTGTTTCCAGTTTTAACAAGCTCTGCCTTTCAGCATTGGATCTTGTTAACGTAATAGGGCTTATTTATGGCTATATGATATTTAACTAGTGTTCCTTTGTTGGTTATGACGTTTATGAGTTGAGGTTTTAAGCTTCAACGGGGTAAGGGTCTTATGTAGTGTTTTAATCTCCTTTAACATAGCGTTATTGAAAATATATAGTATTAATCTCTTATAGATATATTTAGGGAGTAAGCAGAATGTTTCTTAAAATAACTTAGGTATCTTTTGCTTCTGAAATATAATAAATAATTTCAGTCACTGAACTACCTACCTACGTAGTTTACCATAAAGATAAATGATACTGTCTACCAATGCATATTTATTTTATGTGGCATCGAAAATGTTGTCTTTATTTACCAAACAAGTAAAATTTACAGCTACCTACCTATATTTGTGAACCTGTCTCATATTTTATTATAAACGCCTTGAATTACCCTTGGCAAGTCAAGTTTGTAATTTAGCATTCATATATTTTAAATAATGTTGCAATATTGTATGTGAAGTTAATGTGTACTGCATTATTATACTTTATTCTTCTTTAGGTTTTGACTTTGAGCTGAATATTCAATTATTGTGACTACGTATTTTTGTGTGAGCGCATACCTTATTGAATAGGTAAACAAAAAATGTTTCTGTGTCTTTGATAAAATGCAGAAAATAATTTCAAGAATTTTTAATCGAATTTATTGTGTGTATTTTTCAATCATCAGTTAATTCCTAACTGAGGAATAACTTTGAATATTTGGCAATTCCATCATATTAAAAAATAGTCAGATGTCAATTTTATTCTACTATTAAGAAATAACTGATGGATGACAAATCGGCCCTAAGTATGTTACATTTTAGAACTATGGAAATATAGGTACGGGCTTGCGCTTTTTAATGACAAAGAGGTTTTTTTATGGTATAAAGTTTAAAGTCATTTGCCGGGCCCTGTAAACTATTTTCACAAAACTAGTCAATGGGATTCGTTTATTTCAGTATATTTAAACACGATGTAATATAAATATCATTAAAACAGCGAAATCAAAAAGACCTTAAAGTTCTTCTATGTTATTTTCACTCAACTAAAACAACATGAAACATAAAGATACATATACCAAAGTAATACAACATGAATAGAACTATTTATTCACCTACGTATGTTTGGTATCGTAACAATAATTGGAAAAAGCTTTCACCCCTGTACGCTCACCCCTATCAGGGGTTCTCTACCATTCCTATGTCGCACCGAACCAATGGTATATCCACTTGCATTTCCTGCACTGTTTTAAAGTAGTGACTGCAAAAAAGCTTGTAAGGAACGTTGTTTCTATGAATTCTTTGCTTTGAAGGCATAAAACTTGTCAAATTAGTTAATAACTTAAATTTTAAAAGTAAAAGAGTTGGTTTGTTGTTCCAAAACCGAATCTCATATTTAATATTTTTATCATATTTTCAATAGCAACTTTATTTTAGAAACCAAAATCATTAGCATCTGAACCAAAATATACCATAAACATTAGTAACGACCTCATATTATGTGAGAAAACCTAACAGTTATTTTAGTATTGGAAAACTTCGAAACTTCTTCGACAAAAGATCGTAATCAGTATTCCAGTAACATAAAAATTATGCCTAGCCTCAACTTTGCCGTACCCAGACTTAACTGTTGTTCTAACTATAAATAGAAGCCTAACAAGTATACTTACTAATATAATCGTGCGCATCATTCTAATTACTAGGAAACTCATATAAGTAGCTACACGCATATAAAACTGCAAACCACGTTCGAACCCCACAGAGCTGTTTAATATATGACAACTTGGGAGGTAAAGTGTACAGGATATATTTTTGAGTTCGCTACAATGAAGGCAACCAAGATTTGACGTACAAGAAACAAGTCGACGTCTTTTATGTTAAAAAGCCTTGGTCTACATATTTATTCCAACTTAAACAGGTTAAATAAACATTTTCGTGACACCTTAAAATGTCTGTCAAGTACAGTAAAGTGGCGTAGGCGCGCTCTCCGTCCAATCACGTGATTACAAAATAGGAATACATGCATCCCTATGTGGCTAATAATAATCTAAACCACGGATTAATACGTGAACGTGTTTGTGGGCGTGAATCTCAATCATTAGATACTAGTTTTATTTACCAAATCTGACGTTTACTAAAAATGTCAATTCGTAGCAGGCGAACCAACAAAATGTCGAAGTTACTGTCGAAGCTATAAACATTTAAATTGAGTATTTTTATCAAGATGGACGTATCTACGCCGTCGGTAGACGTACGCGTAGTTTTATTCCAATTAGGTTCGGTGAGTGGATAGAGACATTTTCTTAATGAGTGAATGCGAATGACTCGGGCGTTTTTATGTAACTTTTACTGTCTATATACCTCTAGTTAGACTGCGCTGCTTTGAATACATAATATAGTATTGAATGTTTATTAATAAACTTTGTTAATTTCGGCACAGGTGTATCGATCAGCTAATGATTTTTATATATACCCTATTTAGACGCCAAAAGTTATAATAATCGGCAGTGAACAAAAATTTATATTATTCTTGTCCAAATTATGTTACAGCATATAAGTTGCCGTTTTTCACTAACCATCGATTCCTGTTCGAATACGGCGAGACGTGATTCAGCCTCTTAAATTCTTTTAATATTTATAAACTGGTTTAATATGTAAATATTAATGTAGGTTAAGTGTTTCGATGAGCGAATCGTCTAGCTTCCATTAACAAGTAGCAAAGTCGTAAAATTAATTCGAAAATAATCCATTGATTTGTTTGTTTTGGCGGTTGTTTTGTTTGCTGGCGCTACCAAACCTACTCTCGAAGTCTCGACGCGCAATCTCGACGCCCCATCTTACGAGATAACATTATACCTACTCAGTTTAAATATAAGATACAACAAACTAAAAGATGCCTAATGAACGTCGAATTTTATTCACCATTCCTGTTTTGAAAAATTCAAAAATGTTCGAAAGTATGGCGGTGTCACTTCGCCCCATAATATCGAACAGTTTATTCGAACATTTACAGGTTTTTGGCGTTACATGTAATGCACAAATGGTGTTAATATTACATTTTATGCGTTTAGAGAGTCGGTTTTCGGTTGATTAAAAATTTGTCGTATTTTTTTTTGCTCGATGTTGTTTTTGAGCCGTGAGAAGGCGCTACGGATTTTGGCGAGTAAATGAACTTTGGTTAAGCGCCTTAACTCCACGTTTATTTGTTTTTTCATTCTTTATTACTTTGCAATCTTTTTAATCTTAATGAGATTGCCTAAACGAAGATTACAAAGTATCAGAGGAGTAAATAATGAAATTTTCTCTATTAGGTATATACCTAAGTACTTGGCACAGCGTCTGCCTCTGTATATCTACCTAAAACTAAATTTCTAATCCACAAAGAGCACTATGTCAAAGCGAAGGAAACTTCTACTAGGTATCAATAATGCAGGGGCCACTCACACAATATTCTATCGGGAACAGAGATGAAGATCGAAAAACACGGATCCTCGCTCCAAGGGAAGCATAACGCAATAACAAAAATATTTACCGAACCTCGAACCGAATAAAAAGATGTCCCTTAATGCGACCTCAGCTGCACTCCACCTATTATTATTTGTTTCCCCGGAAAAGGTTACTTCAAACAAATATGAATATTGGTAATGTAATGCAAATTCTTTCTCCGGGTCGCGCGTCCTGGCACTATTTCCTTTTTTCTTCTATTCATCCGAGGGTACCTCTGGGAACAATGTTATTAAAGAAAGATAAGTGAGGCGAGAAGGATCGTATCTTATCGACCTTTCGTATTTCGATCGAAAGAATTTGTGTGTAAATAGGTAAATAAGGGTGGCCCTCACATAAGGAAACGACATTCCGGGTCGGTGAGCCTTTTACATACAGCCCGATATACATAAGGAGCCACCCGATACCGTAAGAATGGAGATCATCAGCGATTAAGTAATAAAGTTTGGTTGAGCTCGTTGCGTTTTTCGTGCCAAGCATCGGTTAATCGAAAAGCGCTGACGTTTAAACGGCATATCTGATTACTTGCACCGATCGGAAGAGCAATTAACTACTCGGATCAATCAGATCCGACAACTTCAATTAAAAATTTAAAACGATCACGTGCATTGTTGAAAACATAGAAACTGAAAGTTAGCGCATTCTTATGAGTCACAAGATCGTAGTACGCATCAGAGTTATAACCATCACGTCACAGATTACGACACGCTCGTAAAATTCGTCCGTCCATTGAGTAAAACAATAAAACGCGATTTGGATCAAACGGTGTCACTAGCCCGGCGAAGTTCAAGTGCGCTATTAAGTTGCACAACAGGCAATAAACATTTGAAATAAAAACGTAAATATTCGCGTCGTAAAGTGTGTATCATTTGTAATAATGGCGTTTGCGAGATGGTTATTTTTATCCGGGTATCGGTCGGGTCGTAAATGCCGTAGACTAGAAGCAGACGGGTTTTACGGTGTGGCCCGAGACTGACGGTGAACAGGTGATGAGGTGTCTTCGGTTTATGGTCTGCAAGACTGCTGCATCGCTCACAAGCTATTGCATTATGGTCGTTCAACCAGAATATATCTATGTACCATAGTCTGGGAATATTTCTCTAACAAATTAACTATAAACAATGACTAAATCGGTTTTGCCTAGTTTCTAGGGGACAGGTTAATTTAATTTGGTGTTTGCACTTCCTTACTGACCACCTGTTTGGCAGCCGTAGAGCTACGGCTTGTAATAAATAAAGGCCTACATAGTTCATTATTTTGACTCAAAATCGCGGGTTACTCACGTGAAAATACTGAGAGTTCTCATATTTTAACTGAAAATTCATTTTATTTTTCTTTGTTTCAGATTAACAAGGAATTTGGGTAGTGCTTGTGTACAGTGAAAACTTGGAATTATGGCGAAAATGAGGTGAGATTTTAGTTGCATATTTTGTTTAACATGTCTGTTAAATACTTTATTGTCCATACCTGATATTTTTTATCAAATGATTTTTAATCTACATACCTCTCTATTTCAGTAAATGTTTAATAAGTCTCTAAAGCATAATATACCATTTTTCTTTAAATAACCAGGTAGTATCATAATAATGACACCATAATACCTTTAGATTTAATTTGATTCAAAGAGAACAGACCGGAGTGTTACATCGTCAGCATAAAGTTAATAAGATAGGGGTCGGCCGGCCGGGGGCACTCCACTGTTCCAACATATTGGATAAATAGGACAATCCAGAACATTTTCAGTTTTCATCAAGAAATTCTTTTTCTAAAAATTCGAACAAGCTCGAGCCTAAATATCTTAGTAGAGAATGTACCTCTCCTTTTGTATATCTTAGCATTTCGGAATACTATAGTAGGTCGGAGGTACGGTCTTCATTTTCATAATAATGAAAGCCTGCCTAAAACAATTTGTATTCAAATACCTAATAAGTAAAAGAAACACGATAATTGTTTGATCCAGAAGGAAACAAAGAACTTCAGCTCTTCAAAATTTAAATAAACACAGTAGGATTGCTGTAATAACTTTTATCAAAGGCAACCGTTCCCAAAATTAACCCTGTACATTGTATAAAGAGGGGCTCATCACAACATCAGGATAAAAGTACATAGAAGAATTTCCAACAATATCTGCAAAGGATTATGGAGGTCTATCCCAACATTACGTGCCCAAATTGAAGAGGTAGGCTATTGTAGAAACTAAGGCAGCTCGGTAAAGAGAATGTGCTTAGTTAGGAAAATGTTGGGGCCTACCTAATTTGTGTAGGTTATGTTACACGTTAAGTACCTACCCTTTAGCCGGTTAGTAGTTTGAGTTAACTTACGGAACGGGAAAAGGTGGGTACAGTCGTGTTCAAATGATTATACGAGTTTACCGAACTGTTTTATTCAACATTTGTCTCATGTAAAATGAGCATTGCTACGGAAACCAAAATTCTTGCGAAATAATATTCACTTTTGTCAGGGGTTTGAGGATGATGCATCTCAGTATAACCTACATTTGAATTTCGTTGAACCAAACTTCTCAGATAGAAGCAAATGACACAATTTTACTTGTAGGTAGGTAAGTATGGTGACAAAAAAGTAAAACTAAAACTATAAAATTTCATTTTCAACCAAATGAAACAAAATATATTTTATTACCTAGTGTCTCTACACGAGCATTTAGCAAAACCACATAATTTATGTGATGTTATGATAATAAATCGGTTAATGACCGAGTAATAGCACAATAAATGCATGACGATTAACGTTAAACACGTGTCGGTATCGTAAAACTGTTTTGAATTCAACTGCGCCCGTCTAGAATCTGTCTGTCTAGGCACGGACCGAATGACTATTTTATTGGCGATTCAACGCTACGTCATCTCATTTTACGGTGGCGCCTACTTATACGAAATCACATAAAACCAAACACGTCATTGAGACTACTATAATGTTCTATTAGGGGCAATTTAAACAGCTCCTTACAATTTTACGATTTCGACGGCAGTTTATGGCGTGGCACGCGCTTGAGTTTGCTCGTAAAAACCTACGGTCACCTGTTGTGTGTTATCCTTCCTACAATGTGTCAATAAAATTTTGTCAATGGACGACGTTTTAATGTGCCAATTATGGTTCGATGTTTCATTCACAAGTTTCAGTTTTACGACTCAGTTTGTGGCGCTCCGTTCCGTTCCCGTAGGAAAGTTCCCATTGCGCTGCATGCTTCCAAGCGTGAATTGATAAAGCTTCACCAAAAATTTTACCAAAATTTTTTCTCCTTTTTGACAAACACTTCCTCAATAGATTAATATTTTTTTTTCATCTTGCCGCCCGATGGAATGGCTTTGATCAAGGAAATCATATCAGAGCGTAACGATATTCGTTAGCGACTGTACAAGAATGAATGTTTATGAGCGGCTCCTTCAAATTAGTAAGTATTTTATGGGACCATATTTTGGACGCCACAGTACCGAAGTAGGTTCACGAATCCAGTTATTTTTATATTGGCATTTCTTACAATTTTATCTTTATTGCTATTATTTCGGTTTTCGCATGTTCTTTCTTGGTAATCTGACGCTTTAAACAATGCTGGATAAAATTTATAGTACTTGATATTTACTTATAGGTATACCTAAAACATAGTTTTGTAGGAATAATAAAAGTTTATTTTAAATATTTTTATAAAAAATAGTTTACGTGAGATGTAGGTCATACTGATATTTATGACCCAAACCACTGTCGGGTTAGATGGAAATCTATTTTTTCAGGGTTTTATTGTGCAAGAAGAATATGTTTATTTCATAACATAATTTAGTACCTACGCCAAAAAGAAACGTAGGTAATCTAATTTTATTACGTGTTACAGGATTTATTGTGACGCCGTCGGCATACCAATTGGCATAACATCGGTACTGCGTCGCCTTTCGTATGCTGTAACAATCACATAGCTCAGCGCTATTTCCTGAAAAAAATATAACAGAAAAAGGAAAATTCAGCAGATTTCTTATAAATACACGTAGTCCTACGCCATCGGCCATAACTCAAATGACTGCATACGTCAGGAATATAAAGGAGGAACTTTAGCCAAGCCCCACCTAAAATAGCATGGCCGTTCGTTCAGCGGACACCCGCCCCATGCCGATTGGTGGAAACTCAAAAAAACTCGTTTACCCGCTCTTGCTTTGACCAATCAGCGTGCGGAATATTTAAAAGGCAATTTAGAAGACATCTTGGGAGGTATTCTTATCTCTATCATTACGTATGCGAGTGAACGTGACGGGAAACATGTAACTGTAGTGGTGAGCGACTGCGTTGTCTCACGTGTCGTGTAGATGGCGTTGGTTGTTACGTAGTTCATCTCTTACACAATAGATGGCGCAATAGTCTCGTGTAGTCTTATGAGAGTCAGCTGTTGGTAATGGGATTGGAATGGAATCCGAATTCGATAGCAGGTCACTTCATAGAATTCCAAAATTCTATTTCTAAAAGCATTAAGGTAAAAACGCTTAAGTGTGTTCTGTGCGAATTAGGTCCGTATTTACCCACATCAGTAGGTACGTTCCTTTATATTGAAACTTTGTAATTTTATAACCTTTGAAATTTGATTTTTAATTATTTTGTTAAAAGAGATGACAACAGAACATGTTTTTGCAGCTATTTCAAAATGTGTTACAAATTAATAATGATATTTATAGTTGTAACTGTTATTTAACGGATTCATATTAATCTTTGTATGAGTAACAGAATCAATCAGTAAACACTGCCTTCGTTATAGGTAGATCTACAATATGAATAATTCTACTTCTAAGAAAGTGTTTTAACAGTGCATTTAAATTGTACAAGACCTCTTATCTTATAAACTACAAGAAAATTTTATTAATAGGTTCTTATATAACTAACTAATAACTTGTATTTATTTATATCAATTTCAAGGTTATGTCATGTAGTATTCATACAACGCAACACATGGGTATAAATTAGTGTAGGCGTAGGATGGGACTACTAATTTGTTAACAAATTGAGAAGTTTTTTTATAGGTACCTACACATTAATAAAAATACGAATACGGTTAATAAATCTATGTCATCTTCATTAACACATTTTATTTAATTATTGTACCTTACTTAATAAATTGTGTAAAAGACTTGATTAATATTTCTTGATGTGAAGATGCTTAAAAAAATTAGACTTGAAAATAAAAGAAGTTAGGTTTAAGCAATTAGAAATAAAAAATGCAAAGTCATACCTATTTATAATTATTATGGAGAAATATTGGACAACCAATAAGATTATCTATTATTATTAGGTATCTACATGAAATAAAAAAAAAGACTCAGCTTTCCTGTGATAAAATATTTAAATAATTAATATAGAAATATAGGATATTTAAATAATAATAGACTTCATTATTACAGTCATACCTATCTATTGTATTAATCGAACTGCCCTGAACCTTTTAAAAGTCCTTTCCTTTAATTTTAAAATTATAAATAGGTATCGTTATCTATAAATTTCTGTTTAATTTAAATAATTTCGGAATGTTAACATTTATTAAGAACTTAATTTGGACAACGCTAAGAGTATAATAAATAACATCTACCAAGCAACAGATACTTATAATAATTACCAATTTATATAAATTGTAAACGATACTAAAAAAAGATATTTATTATAAACCAGTTATAAGGTATAGAGTTCTGTGATTTAACCTTGAAATTCAAAACTGTTGGTCTAAAGTTCGTTTTGTTTAAATCGTTTTTTAGGGTGAATAGACCTGTTGTATTTTACTTAGTGAGTTTTTTTACTTACCTACAATACCTCCCAGTTGTTTTTTAGTTGTTGTTAGTTGATGGTTTCCCCAGCTTGAAAAAAATTTAAACAGGGAATCTTTTTAAACAAAAAAACGTTTATCTAACTTTTCTAAAAGAAAGTAACATCTCCAATAGAAAAAGAGTATGTAATAACTTTTTAAATTAAATTTTTTACGAATGTTATTACTGAATAGTAATAACCGTAAATAAGTAACATTGGGCAATTTTGTGCCATTGTGTTCAAAGTAATTAACTCAGAATACTAAATTATATACCTAGTTAAAAACATAGTAAATAATTTTTTATCATGACGTAGCCTTAGAACTGAATTAATTGATGCTACTTCGTATTTTTTACCTAAGTACTTTGAAGTGTTTTTTAAATGGCCAACTATCATAAGTTTAATATCATCTTATATTTTTTTACTAATTTAGATACCTACCTATGTAAATACCTACCAGTACTTATTAATTATTTCAAAACATGATCGTTAATTAAATATCATCCAAGCAAAAAAATTTAAAAATTAGTTTCTAACCTTATACTGCCTAATCGTTTATGTGAATAACTTTAGTATTCAATTTTTTGCTATGTGTATAATATAACGCCTTTCATG